CCCTAAAGATCTCACGATTAAATTTGGCATAGAAGGAAGAGAACCACCAGAGGAAGGGGATTTCACCAAGTCACTCTGGGAGAAAAGCTGAGGCCCAGGCCCATCCCAGTATTCCTGAGGTTGCCTCTGGCTGAAAATCCTGCCCAAAGTCATATGTGCCAGGGGAACAGTAGGGCTGGTATGGCCTTCATACCATCCTGCTTCAGAGACGGTGCAGGCATGGTATCAGGTGGTCTATGGGTCTGGGGCTGCCATTTCATATCGCTGTGCCCCCAGCCACTCTCAGTGTGAGGCTACAGGCAGTCCCAGGGGCTGGGACAGCAGAGGGAGCCTGGGCATAGAAAGGTGGGCCAAGGTCCACTTTCTCCCTGGCTCAGGATGCTCCCAGTCCCCTCCTACTCTGCATGACAGCCTCAGAACCAACTCTGGGCTCCTGGCCTCCACACCATCCTCTAGGATGGCCCCACAGAGCCTTAAGAGTTTTCTAGGTCACATTAATATTTCCCAAGAACCATATCATCATACCTTTATCCATTCATCCATCCATCCATCCATCCATCCATCATATGTCATCTATCCATCCATCCATCCACATGTCCATCTGTCCACTTATCCATCTGCCCATCCATCTGATGCCCAGCCTGTGGCAGATCTGTGATAGGTACGAGGCCTCCAGTGATCATCAAGATGGACCCTACCAGTCTCTGTCTTCAATAACTATATGTTCTGGATGGGGGGGGGGGCGAGGGGACAAAGACACAGGAACTCCCATGCTCAAGGAGAGGTGTGAAAAGAATGTCTGAGGGCTGCTTTCCATTGAGTGGTGGGTGGTGTCTTTGAAGAACAGAGGCTCAGACTGAGACCAAATGTCCACAAGGGACCAGGACCTGATGGTCAGTGCCAAGTGCACTCCAGGCAGCCAGCCCCAACAGGCACATCCCCCTCACACGGACCCAGCTTGGCATGACAAAGGTTCCAGCGTCAGGCTGGCTGAAGACTGAGGAGCTGGGGGAGAGCAGGAGGAGCCAGGATGGGGAGTGGGGTAAGAGCCAGGGGGTGTGGCTTATCCAAGTGCCTGGGGAAGCCACCACAGGATGTTAAGCCTTACTGCTAAGCGGGCAAACCCCTGGTGACTCAGTGTGGTCTCCAGACCCCTGTTAGAGATACAGATCAGGAGACCTGAGTGCCCAGCGGAACCTGAGAGGCAATGTTCTAACTCAGCCCATCCTGGGGCTGCCCTTACGTTCAGGATTACCAGGGAGCCTCCACACTCAGGCTGCATCTTGCAAGACCTGGCTGGAGTGGCAGTAGTTCATAGAGCTTTCTAAGTGACCCTCACATACCTCCCACGGAGGACCCCATCATCTACATGTTGTGTGTTGCTCAAGCCTTGGTGGCTTGCATCTACCTTCTGGAGAGCATTTATGAGGCAGCTAAGCCTCACTGGCCATCTGGGATTCAGCTGTGGTGGCACCAAGTGGGCCTCTCAGGACCCAGCCCAGGCTGGATGGCAGCACCACACGGGAGTTCCTGGAGCTCGGCCCTGCCATAGCCCTGACCAAGCCAAATGCGGGCCCAGGTGGGGCACTCCTCAGCCCTGGGAGCTAGAAGAGGCAGGAACGATCCTGCTTCAGAACCTCAGGAGCAGCTGGCCTTGCCCACACCCTGATCTCAGCCTCTGACCTCCAGGGCTGTGCAAAAACAAACTCCTGCTGCTTTCATCCTTTGCTTCACTGGCCCCAGGACCTTCCCAGAGACTGGATGTCAGTCTGGTCTGACCCAGAATGCTCCTCCTGTTGTCCTTGGGCTCCAGGAAGAAAGGTGCCCGTGGGGAGACCAGCTCTGAAGCCAACGGGAGGCTCTCCCGGGGACGGTTCACTGCCTCCCTGCATCCCTGCCCCTGAGAGGAGGGCACCACCCCACCCTGAACAAAGGGGCAGGCTGCTGGATCCATGAAGCCAGGGGAGAGCAGGGGGACGGGGTGGGGGGAGATGCTGATGTGCAGCCCACAAAATGAAATGTAGGACAATTAAAAATGCACTCAGCTTAGATTTCAGAGAGCCATTTCCAGACTGTAAATACCATACCTGTCATTAAAAATGTATTTATGGCGACCACACAGGAGCATCCTTGGGAGGCTGGGGGTGTGTCCACTGAGTGTGTCTTTAATACGTGCGGGCTCCAGGCACGGGCTCCACCAGCCCCCATCCACACAGGCCTTGAGCAGCACATGGCAGAGGGGTGGCATCCCCATGCAAGACCAGTGGTAATCTTTCCATTTCTGGGGACACTCACACAGATCCCAAAATACAGAGGGTGCGAGCCGGTCATGCTCGCAGGGGAAAGTGTGAGTGGCAGGTAAACACACAAGCGGCTCACCCTCGCCAGGAACCCAAGGGACGCCAAGGAAAGGGGCCATGGGCTGTGGGGCCCAGGGGTGCAGGCCTGCCTGCCAGGGGGGACCCGAGCACCTGCCGAAGGGACCCGAGCGCCCGCTGGGAGCCGCTCACCCTCGGGCTCTCCACCCAGGGAACTAAAAGAGGAGGAAAGAGACACATCTACGGGTTTTATGGCGACGGTGTGGCTCCGAGTCGGAAGGAACGCACTCCAGGGCAAGTTCGCGGCCACGGGGCACGCCGACGCGGACACCGGCCAATGGGGCCCAACTGGAAACAGATGTGCGAAGAAAGGAGACTGTTACTCACATCTGCTGTATAAATACGTCCACGTGAGAAAGATAAACAGAGGAAGGGACGGTGCTGGACGGGGAGAGGGGCGATCCTTCCTGACATGACTGATGCCTTCGCATGTATTTTTAATAAAGGAGAGGAAGTGTCTGCATGCAGACAGTGACGAGCAAGAACACGGAGGATTAATGTCTGTTGATTTGCTTTGGAGAAAAATGAGATCAAAACCATTCCCATTCTCAGGACGTTTCGGGTCACATCGCCCGGCCCGCCACACTCTCCCAGGCAGGGCCAGGGAAGGACCTGAGGCTCTGGGAGAGCAGGAGCCCCCGTGGGAGCAGCCCCTCTCTCAGCTTCTCTACTTGCACCCCAAGAATCTGAGTCTGGAGCCTATAAGCAAGAAGTCCTGGCCCCCACTGTGCTACAGGGCTGGCCCAGATCCACCTGTCCCCGGCGTGTCCCCCATGAGGATAGGCAGCAGGTGCTAAGTACACCCCACAGCTCTGACCCGTGGGTACAGATCACACTGGGAAGGATGGTTCACTGTCCACACCCCCGTCTGCTCCATGTGCTGCCCGCTGAGACGCTGCAGAGAGCAGAGGAAACCTGGACTCTGGACAGTCAGCAGGGGCTGAGGAGGGAAGAACTACCCCCAACACACCCTTCAGACTCGGCTGGCATGCAGCAGGCAGGGCCACCGAGGTGGCCACAGAATTCTGCCTTGGGGAAGAGAAGACTCAGGTGCCTCTGTTCACTTTGTAGCCCGGGGGACGTGTCCCGGGACCATCCACCTAGCAAGGGGGATCGCCCTTCCCAGGGGCTTCACCCTGACGCCAGTCCTAGAGCACAAACCCTCGGAGGGCTGCAACGAGACGTCACTGGGACCTTAGGGCTCAGGCCATCATCCACGCTCATCCCAAATGCTGAGCACCTCCCCCAACACTGAACAACATTGTTCAAAGCCCTCCTACCTCTCCTTGGTTGGCTGAGTTGCTCCAAGGCGCAAGATGAAAATCTACCAAAGCAGGAGGTATTGGGGGGTGGACATAGCAGGACAGCATGTGTCCTCTTCGCAGGATGTTGACTCCTTTCCCTGAGGCTGGACGGGGATCTGGGGGCACGAGGGGCCAGGCTGGGGAGTCTGCAGGGTAAACCCGCAAATCCACTGCCCAGAGGAGCCGGCTAGCAAAGGCACTCAGGCTAGAGAGGCAAGAAAAACCGCAAGGCAGCTTGAGTGGCTTAGACCCCAGATGTGGTGCCATCAGCACCACCAGTGACCAAGCGAGCTGGCCCCCAAGGCGACCCCATCAACAAGGAAATGTTCCAGCCTGAGGTGTCATTTCAACACCTGCCCAACGCGTTGCAGAAATCCCCAACAAGAACCAACAGAATCAATCCTCAAGCCCCTGCCCTGGAAGCAAAGTCAAAAGTCAAAAATCAACTCAAGGGAGGCTACACACAAACAGGAGTCCTGATGAGCAGGTTTGGGCATTGTTTTTTTTTTTTTTTAATAGATTCCAAATAGAAAAGTGAATTAATTATTACCTGAGAAACATATCTTGAAAACCAAAAGGGCTCAATGCCCAGCAAATGTGGGAGCGGCGAGAGGCACTTGGAGGAAACAGGATCCTTGCCCCGGAAAAGCTTTGAAATGACAGCCCAAGAGGCTGGGAGCCGCCCTTCCCCCTTCCTGGGAGAGCAGGTGTAAATATGGGAGACAATAGCAACCCAAATGATTTCTCCAAACCTCCTTCTCTCCCACCTCATTTAAGACATCACAGGGGTTACTTCATGTTCTTGGGCTGAATTCACATCTCACAAAGAAAGAGAGCCCCCCCCCCATCACCGGTGGGTTATTTATTTACCAAGCTCTGCAGCTGAGCCAGGAAGAAAGAAACACATCTGGACAATGAGGGGAATTGGCGTATTTGGTGGACCCCGGGAGCTGTGTCTGAAGTCCGGGGCACGCGCACGAGGGCATTTGTGTGCTGACCTGAATTCTCAATGCAAACCCTGTTCCTCTGGGGAGGAGAAAAGGAAGAGGGGAGGAAAACCAGAAAGAAAAGAAGGCCAAGAAGCTTTCTGAAGGGCAGTCTCTTCTCCGGGGCTGTGTGTGTGCCCACTGATGAAATCCTTGATCACGCTCCATGTCTCCGACACGCATTTTGTAGCCAAAGGGAAGTTGTAAGAACGTCAACTCACAGGGATGCTCCAACTGGGTGTTGTTGAGTGGGGAGAGGGAGTCTCGGCCCTCAGCCCTGGGAGACATATGGGTGCATAAGGAGAAAAAAACCCACGTTCAGGGTGACTTACCGCCACAGAGAACTTTCCAGAACTTTCCCCATGTCTGCATGGTAATACTTCGTCAGGATCAAGATCACCTGTGGTAGCGACAGAAAATAGAAATCAGTGAGTTTCAAGGCTCTGAGAGAGGGATATGATGACGCTGCCACCGCCGCCCCCAGGATTTGGGGTGTCGTGTAGAGCATCAGCTGGCCAGGCCTTTCTGTCGGCCTCCCTGGGGACCGGGGAGGGGGCTATAGACACAAGACTTGTGTCTGCTCTGAAACCCCACTCCACTCTTCACGGTGACTTTGGGAACATCCCAATCCAGCCAGGTCCACCCAGTAGCCACCCCTCAGCAGGAAACATTCAAACCCAGCTCTGGGCCATCACAAACTGTGGCCAAAGGGACAGCCGAGGGGTGGCCCCAGGCTGGGCAGAGAATGCATCTGACGAGGCTTCTGAAGACGGGGACGGGGAGACCAAGCTGAGGCCCAGCCCGTGACAGCGGGGCCTGGTAGGGCCGAGGACAGCCGGACACCCGCACCCCATCCTCGGCACACGCCCCAAGCCCCACGCTAACAAAGCCTGTTTCATCTCACACCCCTGCAGAAATCTGTTCCTACTAATGAAAATAAATGTGTTCAAGAGCACCCAAAAGTTCTCCCAATGCACAGAAAGGACGTGAGGATTTGCCTGCCCAGCGGGAAAAAAACGCCTTCTCCCCAATTACTTCACAAGCCAATGCATTTTCCCTGAACATCAAATTTCATTTCACTGCTGCCAATCCCTATTAGCGGCTCCTAACACTCCCGTTGCCATGGGAACCCCGGGAGGTAACCGGGGAACACCCCCCTGCTCCCAGCAGAGCCCTGAGCCGGCTAATCTGGGGTCACCACACTGGCCGTCCCTGAGTTTGGTCTCTTGCCGCCAGCACAACCTCCTCCGCTCTCGGTCTTGGGGGCGCAGCTGCCCCCCAGCCCCCTGGCCTGGCCTGGCTGATCCCCCTGGTGCTGTGATCACCAGGGAAGGCAGGAGGAGGGGACACCACCGGGACCGGACAGCATGCGTGCAGGAGGCAGCGATGATCAAAAACAAACCCAAGGCCTCCCTGTCCGCGGAGGCACGAGGGCCCCGCCTTGCTCGGGAACAAAACAATTTTCTCCTGCCAGCTCTCGGGCTGCCCGAGCCGCGCGGGAATCCTCTGAAGGCCGAGGGAGACAGGCGGAGTGACAGGGCCTGGACGTGCAGGAGACAAGCGTATTTTTAACCTATTGATTTATATTTTATAGTCTCGCCGCTCCCAGAGGGGATTTCGAGGAGCCAGAGTGTGACAGCTGGAAGGGACCTCAAAGGCTGTTTCATCCAGCCCATCCAGGGTGAAATCCTCCACCCAACATCCTTAGCAAGCCCCAGCTGTCCGAGCCTTGCCCACACACCTCGAGGGGTGGGGAGCTCACCCCCTCACGTGGTACTCAGGTCCTCCTTCGGGCTGAGCTCCTTGTCCAGGGGCTTCTGCTGCTGGAACTCTCTCTGCCCTGTGGTCCATCTCCCAGTAGGACCAGTGCCCCTCCCATCCCCTTCTGGGCAGGGCTCTCCACTCATGCCCACCCCAGTCACTCTGAACACCAACTCCACAGGGCCTTTGCACAAGCTGTTCCTCATCTTGGGATCCTCTTCCCGCCACGACTCTTGATTCCTTGAATAATTCTAAGCAATTCTCAGACCTTAGTCTAACTGACGTCACTTCCAGGAAGCCTCCCAGGTCCCTCCCCTGGTTCAGTGCCCCCCACACTTCCCCAGACCCTGCGGTCTCACCTCTGGCACCACTCATGAGGCCTGTTTCTATCACTTGATAACAAGCCCTTTGCGGGAGGGAACAGTGCCGGGCACAGCTCCTGCGGTCTAACGTGACCAGGGCAAAGAAGCCAGGAGAGGTGTGTGCCCCAAGCAAGGACCCTGGCCCCCTGCTCTGGCCATCCACTTGCAAGCCATTCTCTGCCAACACGAGTACACATTGTTGCCCACTCTTGTGCAAGGGGACAGAATCACTCTGCTGGTATGACCTTAACCCATGAAGCTGAATGAGTTTGGGCTCCAGAGGCCAGGGACCGGGGCCGTCCTTGCCCGGAGCTCAGACAAGGAGCCACCCAAGACGGGTCAGCCCTGGGGGAGCCCGGCAGGCATCCTTAACTCTGTAGCTGGCCACAGAAGGAGCCCTCTGCTTTGGGGCCGGCCCCTCCAAGCCCAGTGTACCTCCGTTCCCCACCCTACAGAGCAAGGAAGCGATACCCAGCTCCTTCCGTGACGGCCAGGATGCCGGAGCCAGCAGCGACCCAGAGGGGGCCACGCTCTCGCTCACACGCACTGGCGTCGGCTTTGTCCCCGACCCACGTGCCACACCAGGTGATTCAGTTCACGCACATCAACCTTCTTTACACCTGGGACCCATGGGGCAGCTCCTGTCATCATCCCCACGACAGAGAGAGGAACTAAAGCAGAGTGAGCACCAGCACTGCGTGCGGGAGAACAGAGCCTGCAAGCTCCCAGCCGGCGGCTGTGGGAGCCCTGGGAACCCGTCCTGGGCCCAGGCTCCGAGCCGCCAGGCTGAGGCCAAGCTCCACCATCTGTGCCGCTGACACCGCGCTGAAATTCTCACAAGTGTTTGAACAAGGGCCCCATGTTTTCATTACTTTTTGAAAGTTGTTTCAAAGAACTAAAAAGTACGGCCTGCCCTTCTGGGGATCCTCAACTCACAGCTTTGGAAATGAAATATCCCAGGAACGCTTTTCCAGCGGTTGGCATGTTACTGCAAGTGCTGGGGCGCTTTGATCCGGGTGGGAGAAAAATCTGGAACGGGAGCTGGGTGGGGCTTCTGTGTCCTGGCCCTCGCCAGCAGTTTCCTCCCACCTAGAGGCTGCCTGCACCCACCATCCACACAACTCCTTCCAGAGAGTCAGGAACAACCAAGGAGAGAACAAGGATAGGGAACCACCCCTGCAGAGGGGGGACGGGCCCCTAGGGTCCCACGGCACCCCTGCACCTCCTCTTCTTACTTCCAGCCCCCCAGGCCCTGGAGGTGGGTGAGATCACGATGGGGGCACTGTCCCAACGCCCTGGAGGCAGTGTCACTTAGGTCCAGCCAACCCGTGACCCCAGGAGAGAAGCCAAGCTCTCTGGACTCCTCAGACCTGCTCATCCTGAGGCTGCTGGGCTGTGGGCTCCTTCAAGGAGGGGACGTGGTCTGCTTTGCTCCACCCTAGATTCCCAGGGCTCAGTGCAGAGCAATAGTTCACTAGTACTTGTCCAGTGAGTGAATGAATATCCCTGCCCAGACGCAGATCCAGGGAGGAGACGGTATCTGTCCTTCAGGCCGTCACCACAGCCAACCGCAGCCAACCCCTGCTACCCCAGCTGCCGGAACCCTCAGAGCCCCCCTGTCTGGACCACCCTCGCTCTCTGACGCCTGCAAACACTGCCAGAGGGGAAAGAACACACCCCATTCTTGGGGCCCACAGCTCATTCACAGAGATGCCTGTCCAACCTTCAGGAGAGGAAGCTCCAGGACTCTGGTGGGGTGAGCCCACTCCCCTCCCAGGGAGAGCACATATGAGATGTCCCCAACTGCTGCGTGACGCAAGCAACCAGGGACAGGGGGCTGGTGTGTGACCTGAGCAGCCCCCCGTCCCTCCCCACCGACTCAGGACAGCCTGCGCTTGATTTAATGCTCTGCTGTCGGGATCCCTGGGTGGCGCAGCGGTTTGGCACCTGCCTTTGGCCCAGGGCGCGATCCTGGAGACCCGGGGTCGAATCCCACATCGGGCTCCCGGTGCATGGAGCCTGCTTCTCCCTCTGCCTATGTCTCTGCCTCTCTCTCTCTCTGTAACTATCATAAATAAATAAAAAAACTTACAAAAAAAATAAAAAAAAATGCTCTGCTGTCCCTATCTTGAAATTCCTAAAAATGTTTAAACAAGGGGGCCCTATGTTTTCATGATGCATCGGACCCTATGAAGAGCGTAGCTGGGCCTGACATTCCCCAGTCAGAGCCCCCCTCTTGCCTCTCGAGGTGCTGGAGAGAGTGTCTGCAGGACACCCAGTTCTACTGAGCCCGTTGAATCTCATCTCCCTGGATAGGGAAGCAGGACAGGCCAAGGTCAGGGGCTGGAAGGAGCCCATGGGAACTTAGGATGGCTTCATCCAACACCTGCCTTTAGAAATGGAGAAACACTTTTGAAGAAAGGAAGGATGTTCGCAAGGACAGGCCTAGTCCCCAGAGATCCCTATCCAAGGCCCCGGGGTGGCTTCCAGGGACAGGAGCCGTGGGCCCCACCAGCCTGCTCCTCCGTGGAGAGGCAGCCCAGGGTTCTCTCCCCTGACTCATGCAGAGACCCTCTGCGGGTAGCAGGGCCTCCGCCTCAACCACCACCAGCCTGCCTCCTGCCCATGTGCCCATGCCACAAGTCAATTCCAGCCCCCAATGGTACGTTGCTGCCCCTGGGACATCCAACGTGCCCTTCACTCCTCTGCTCAGCGAAGAGCCTATACAAACCACTTAGAAACAAGGCACCGGGTCTGTCCTCCAAGATCCTGCAAGAGGCTCATGGAAACAGCCCTGCGGTTGGAGGAAATCACACCAACCGGCAGAGGACCCTTAAGTGGCATCAGCAGGCCTGCCAGTCTGAGAGGAGGCTCGCTCAGGGGAGTCTTGGTGCCCAGGGTTGCTGGAGGCCAACGGCATGATAATGAACATCTCCACCTGCAAACGGCGTCCGTCCTCACCAGGTACCCTGGTGGCACCACCTCTCTGACGAAATCAAACAGAACAGAGGGTGCAGTGCGTGGGGACGACCCTGGCTGCCTGAGTCTCGGTTTCCCTATCTGTGAATCAGAGTGGACTCAGGTAGGGCCTCACAAGGCTGCTGGAAGGGTGATTGTCCACCCACTCGGGCTTAGGCCAGAAATCAGAGCACAGATACCCCGGGGCCCAGGCCCTCTCTCCATGAGCTGCTACGGCACGTTTCTAGGTCAGCTATTTCTGTATCCTGGGGGCGGAGGGGGGCTTACAACAGCGGCTCCGACTGAGGTTCTGGGGCCT